TCCGTCTTCGGCAACTGAGGATGTTGCACAACTCTTTGTGTGGTGACTTGGATTAACCCACGGCGAGGGGCAGCTGGAAGACGAGCAGATGTAGTGGAGACCACGGTGCTACTTTGCCCAGAAGGGTGCTTACAAGCTGGATCTAAAAATAAGAAAGAGGTGAAAGGATGATCAAGACTTAGGAAGCACTGGGCTTGCAGTACAGCACACTTTCCTGATTCCTTCCCATTCTGATCCCTGCCCACAATAACAAAACAGAGGGTAGCATGTTAAAGTCCGATACAAGTACTATGATAATCATGAAATAAATTTAACTTTTATTTTATCCAAAATTTTACTCTTCTTCTTTAAATAGGTAAAAGTAAAGGTCCCCTTCGCACATATGTGTTAGTCGTTCCCGACTCTAGGGGGCGATGCTCATCTTCGTTTCAAAGCCGAAGAGTCAGCGCTGTCTAAACATGTCTCTGTGGTCCTGTGGCCGGCATGACTAAACGCCGAATGTGCATGGAATGCTGTTACTTTCCCACCAATTTTTCCTATTTTTCTACTTGCATTTTTACATGCTTTTGAACTGCTAGGCTGGCAGAAGCTGGGACAAGTAACGGGGGCTCACTCTGTTACACGGCATTAGGGATTCGAACTGCTGAACTGCCAACCTTTCTGATCGACAAGCTCAGAGTCTTAGCCACTGAGCCATTGCGTCCCTCAACTTCTTTAAATAGGAAGCAACAAATTAGAGTTGCCAGACCTCTCTGAGCCCGAAGGGCACAGCAAGCTGGGAAACTGAATATATTTCCCAACTACTGGATCAGTTTCAGAGGTCTGTATGATTCTTGCTCCTCCCTTGTTTTTTTTTCTTTTAAAAAATGCATTAAAAATACATGGTTGAAGAATTTGGTGCAATGTAGAATTTAGTAAATTTCATAGATTTTTTTTTAATGATTTGGAGCTAAATTGAAAATGTCCCCGTTCTGCTCATTGAGCTGCCTTCAAGAACTGTTGTCTATTTACAAATATTAAAAACAGGGCCTTTGCAAGTGTGTCCCCTGCAATGATATGTGGGAATGGCTTGCGGAGACAGGAGGAAGAGTCGCAGCCTAGATCAGAGGTCTCCAAACTTGCTGGCTGGGGAATTCTGGGAGTTGAAGTCCACCAATTTTAAAATCACCCAATTTGAAGACACCCCCCCTGGGGGGGGGGGCTAGATAATGGTCAGATAAACTAAACCTGAGTCCAAAGAATGGATGGGGTGGAGAAAGTGCCTCACAAGGGTTCCTCCTTAGTTTTCGAGAGAGTAAAAGTAAGGGAGTGGAGAGATAATTTCAGATTGCAGATGATTCTGTGACAGGTAATCCTTGATGAATACCATTTGTTCAGTGGCCATTAAAAAGCTGCAATGTTCCCATGGTCACATGATTGGGATTCAGGCACCCGGTAAGTGGCTCACAATTACGACAGACACAGGTCATGTGATTGACTTTAGTGTCCAGCTTTTAACAAGTAGAACCAAAAGGGAAGCTGGCAGAATGTCACATATGGTGATTGTGGAATATCATGCTAAATGACCCTCCGGGATCTACTTAATAATCTCAACTGGAACTGCCAAATTGGTGTGGTCATGTGACCACCTCGCTTTACAACTGTGCCCCTTAGTGACAGAATTGCTGGACCCTATTGCCCTCATTAACTAAAAACCTGAACAATAAAGGTAGTGTTATTATTCATGGTTGATGCTTCTTTGAATGGGCTTTCTCAAAGGGCTGCCACCCCCTGAACATATCTCCTCCTGCCTGGTTTATAGGCAGATTGGCTGGGTTCATAGGAGACATTTATCCAAGCTCATTAATTAAACTACAATTGAGTTAATTAGTCCAAATTCCTCAGCTCATAAAGTTCACTGGACCATATAACCAGAGGGGATAGATTTGCACATCACACTAGGGCCTAAATGTGATTGGCTATTTTGTACAATGGTAAGTCATGCAATTATAATCTATGTGTTTTAATGTAACTGTTTTGATTTCTATTTGAGTTGACTGCTAGTCATTCTTTTGGCTTTGGTTTCACTGATACACACACACATCTATAGATCTGTTATATATTGTACCTATTAATCATAAAATAATTAATAATGAAAGTGGTAATATAGATTAAGCACAAGCTTTTTAAATATGAATTTAGTTTTACTTTTCAAAATAGAAATCACAAGAAAATTGAGAAAACAGTGCCTAAATGCACTAAAAACAATTAAATGAAACTGTGAAAATGGAGAAAAAAGCCCACAGGAAAGAAAAGCAATTTTTAAAATCCAAACTTTCTAAAGAAAAGAAAAGAAAAAAACTTTATACCATAACCGAGCCACGGTGGCGCAGTGGTTGGAGTACAGTACTGCAAGCTACTTTGCTGATTGCTGGCTGCCTGCAATTTGGCAATTCAAATCTTACCAGGCTCAAAGTTGACCCAGGCTTCCATCCTTCCGGGGTCGGTAAAACGAGGACCCAGATTGTTGGGGGCAATAGGCTGACTCTGTAAACCGCTTAGAGAGGGCCATGAAGCACTTTGGAAGCGGGATATAAGTCTAAGTGCTAGTGCGCTTGCTATTCAACATATTGATAGTGGTTTACTCATTAATACCTTGAAATGAGGTGTGTGGTAGGGAACTACATTAAATAAATACATTGCAAGCCAGCTTATCCCCTCAGCTTCTAGCAATCTATACTTGTTTTCCACTCTTCTCTGGAGCTCAGATTTCCTACCAGCCTTAATAATGACACCTTTTTTGGGGGAGGGCGGGGGGAAGCTTATTCAATCTGTTTGAGCCTAATTTTCTTTTTGTCCTGTTCAATCGTGGACTGAATTCTTGGAGACTGTCTGGACAAGTCCCTGCAGTTTTCTTGGCAAGTTTTTCCAGAAGTGGTTTACCATTGCTAGAGAAAGTAATTAACCAAGATCACCCATCTGGTGGGATTAGAACTCATGGTCTCCTACTTTCTAGTCTGATGCCTTAACCATTGGACCAAACTGGCTTTGGTTCTAAATTAGGAGGCAATAAGTATCTTGGGTTTTCCATGAACATGAGGGAATATATAAGGTATCTTCAAGATGATCTTCTCCGTTTTGAATCTGCCCACCCAGATTAGGACAGAAAGCCTGTTGAAATTTCTTTTGGGATTCCAATGATGGGGACCCTTCTCAGTAATCACCTCCCCTCTGTGTTACAATTGCCCCCTTGTGTTATAGTCCACCCCTTCTCTATGGGTCTACCAGAATGCTTGAACAGATGGAATCTCAGAAAAGGAAGTGAGGTCAATGAGGGCTGGTTGTGTATGAAAGTTAGTGAATGTTTATAACCACATATTGTGGTTATTGATTTAATCTTTTGTATTGCTGAATGTAAGCTGCTCAAAGCTTTTGATACATTGAGCAACACAGAAGCCAGAATGAAATGAATGAATGAATGAATGAATTGAATTGAATGAACGAACACTTTTGAATTTCATGGTGTAATATAGGTAGAATACAAACATTAATATGTTCAGACTTGCAAGCTTGTGTCTCCCAGGCATATCTTACTTCAGTTCTCAGGCTGGCTGGTAATTGAAACCAAAGCACATTTGGAAGGCATTAGAAAGTTTAAGACAGTTCTAGATTTGGTTGGAGGTGCAAATACTGGAAGATTCAGCTGACACATACAATATTGTTGAGTCATCAACTGGCAACTTTTTGGAAGTGTTTTAATGCAGATAAGTAGATTTGTGAGGAAATCCTTAAATGTTAAATATGTTAATGTGTTGCTGAATAACACTGGAATCTGTTTATCATAAATTATGGCTGTATCAAGCATGGGGCTACAGGGTTAGCTAAAAGAAATTACACTGAGAAACTGTAAAATTCATATTTTTCCAGATTGTAAAGAATGGTTTTTGGAAATGTATGACTTATCTGTTATGTAAAGGATAATATTTTCTCCTAATCAGAAATGGAATGTGTGTTGCTATAGCAGAGATTTTTGTTGTATTTTATAATATTTTTAAAAATTATTTATATTATAGCACTGTACGGTATTAACGAGTAAACCAGTGACCATTGATACGTTGAATATATAAAGTCTTTTTTTCCTTTTTCTTTTCTTTAGCCAGTTTGGATTTTTACATTTTATTTTCTCTCCTGTCGGTTTTATTTCCCATTTTCACAGAGTTTCATTTCATTGTATGGATTGTTTTTAACGCACTTAGGTGTTTTCTCAATTTTCTTGTGATTTCTATCTTTAAAAGTAAAACCTAAATACATATTTTAAAAGCTTGTTCTAAATCTACATTACCGCTTTCCTTATTAATTCTGCTCTACAGTTACTGCCCTCTTCTGAAATATAGTTGTTCGATCTCATCTATTCAGTATTGAGGCTTTCTCAGCTCAAGCCACGAGAAAAAGTTTCCTCCAAGTCTTTATTATTGTTAAGAGGAAAAGAATAACAAATGCCTTCCAAGAAAATAAGATGGTAATCACGCTCCCAGTGGTATAATAGCTTGGCTGTGAATAATTGGAGTTACGACTTAGTTGTGAATAAGTGGACCTGAATCAGCAATGGAGGAACTGGTCCATTGCAAGGATCCTCCCATACAATGCACAAAAACAGTATTTCACAAGATGCCAGAGGAGTTGCTGAATCAGTTTTGTAGTGTCTAGGAGGCAGAGTTTGAATACACAATGGATTATGGAGAGAAGCTGGGGCTGTAATACTAGGTTACCTAGATTAATATTTTCCTCTCTCTCATAGCTCTTTATAATAAATATATTTATGTATTTACATTATTTATTAAACATATTTAGTATGGCTGCCTATATACAGAGAGGACTCTAGGTGGCTTACAACATTAACATCCACAACATAAAAACCCATACTCCTCCCCCACCCCACCCCACCCCGCCAGCAGTGTGGCGGCAACAGCGACACATTTACTTATTAAACCACAAATTGTCTCCTATCAGATACTCTTTCAAATAGAGATATCAGGGATCGACACTGATTTCATATACCACCCAAATCATATGAATTGGATTTGTCGCAGAATAAATGCAGTACTTAATGCAAATTCTAAACTCCACTTGGATTACTCTTCAGTTTTAGCTTCATGGGCGACCAGAAACAGCCCAGAAGTGAGGGTTGCTTTGATGCTCTTTCCTGGAGTCAAGCCCTGCCAGCAACAATATACCAGATGCTCTGCATGCAAAGTCACTACAAATCAAATCCTAGTTTACTGAACTCCATCAGCAGCGGGATATGAATTCAACCATCTGCTCAGAAATCGGAGCATCTCACTGAGGGGAAATGGAAGCGGCCATTTGAGGCCTGTAGCCATTCGGATGCCCAATACAGTATCTCTCAACTCAAAACCTCTCCTCCTGTTTTTGCAGAGGCAGAATAACTCAGGCAGCACTCATCACCGTCAACATCAAAATATCAGCCAATTCAGCTTTTTCCCACCACGGCAAGCTTAACAATTGCTTTGGAAGCCTGCTCCAGCAATAATGCGATTTAGCTCCTTCAATAGCATTCCCACTCTATTATTAAAACGGATTGTTTCTAGGGCATTGACAGGGTAAATGGCACCTTTCAGCACACTGAAAGCCATGGCATTGCTCTTCGTTTTTAATCCAAAATTTAAGAGTCATGTAGATGTGATTTCTGAAGCGCAAAGAGAAGAAGCAAGAAATAATTGAGAATAAATCTAATACTTGGTATGGTTTGTCTCATATACTGTACTTCCATGAAAACAACAAATACAGGTTCCCAATCTGGAATTTGTATTTAATATACAAATATATATATATAAATATATTGAAAAGATCGGCTCTTACTATTTTTATCTCTTCCAATATATTATGTATTATGATATAGTATATAGTAATTTCAGTACTTTTAATTATAAAGGCTTAGTAAGGCCACACTTGGAATACTGCATCCAGTTTTGATCACCACATAACAAAAAAGATGTTGAGACTTCGGAAAAAGTTAAAAGAAGAGCAACTAAGATGATTAAAGACCTGGAGACAAAAACATCTGAAGAATGGTTGCCCATAATTGTGTATGGGCAGTCTAGAGAAAAGAGGACTAGGGGGCACATGATAGCAGTATTCCAGTATTTGAGAGATTGCTACAAAGAGCGGGTGTGTGTGTGTCAATTTATTTTCCAAAGCACCAAAGGGCAAGAAAAAAAGCAATGGTTGGAAACTAATAAAGGAGAGAAGCAATTAAGGGGAAACTTCCTAATGGTGAGGACAATTAACCAATGGAACAGCTTGCCTTCAGGAATTGTGGGTGCTTCATCACTGGAAGTTTTTAAGAAGAGACTGGACAGCCACCTTATGAAATGGTACAGGGTCTCCTGATTGAGCAGGGGGCTGGGCTAGAAGACCTCCAAGGCCCCTTCCAGCTTTGTTCTGATTTATTGCTATAAGGTTCTTTTTTTTCCCACTCATCCAACAGGTTTTTTTAAGTGCACTGGATTAAGAAATAGTGACCGACAAAGACCCCCAGTGGAAATCACAACTGAATGCAGAACTGGACCCAGTTCTCAAGGCCTACTCTGGTATTCAACCATGGCACTCCCAAATCTTAAAATGAACTATGACTGTTAGCAGGGATTCTATGCAACTGAATGTTTCAGCTGGGCTCTAATTCCATGGGACTGAGTCTGAACAAGGGGATTCTACACACACACACACACACACACACACATTCCCTCCCTCCCTCCCTCCCTCTCTCTCTCATACACACAGTATATGAACTTGGTCATTGTGGAAACAAGATGCCGACCTAGGAAGACTTAGGTTTGATCTAGCAAAGTTCTCTCCACATTAGAAAAATCTCACTGTCTTCTTACTCACCTGAATGCTTGATTCCTGTATCATCCTGCAATTTGGAGGGGCTCTGTCCAGGGGTAGAGGAGCCAAAATATGTGAGGGAAACTTTGGTGTTCACAGCTCCTCTGACACGTTGGGGCTCTGCAATATCAGGCATTTCTCCAGTCCCTGGAAAAAAACAAAAGGAAAAGGCCATGAGTGGAACCCAAATTTGATGGTCTCAAAGGTTGGCCTACAATGTTGTCTTGGCTGAGGTAGAACAGCAAAAGTAGCCCAAGTGCAAAAATCTCCCCCAAATTAATTTGACAACACCCCCATGATAGAAAAGCTTGCTGGTATCTTTCCCATCACTCCTGTCTTTAAGTAATTAAATAGTTGGCTTCCTTGGCATTACACCTCAAATCTGAGACTTGAGACATCTAATGATAAGCCTGTCCTTGAGCCTCTCTCTCTCTGCTTCTGCTCCAAAGGAGATCTCTCCACTTTGGCCTCCTTCTTCTGCCCTAGTTCCTCTCAGAAATTCTGTTCTCAAGGAAGGTCATTCTGAACAGAGGAAGAGAATGAAGGAGATTCTTCTAGCAGCTCTTTGAAACATCACATCGAAGGCAGGAGTTGGTTTTTTTTAAAAAAAAACCTCCCAGCTTAATATAAACCAGCTTATCCTATTTAGGTTTCTCAAGATCTAGTTATTAAAGGTAAACGTAAAAATTCCCCTTGCACATATGATTCGCCGTTCCTGATTCTAGGGGGCTGTGCTCATCTCCGTTTCAAAGCCGAAGAGCTAGCACTGTCTGAAGACGTCTCCGTGTCCATGTGACCAGCATGACTAAACGTTGAAGGCGCACGGAACCCTGTTACCTTCCCACCAAAGGTGGTCCCTATTTTTCTACTTCCATTTTTTACGTGCTTT